TAAGAGGCAACAATAGAGTTCAAGTTGCTGAGAAGGAAAGCAGCTCCAAGTCATTCTGTGGATCATGTATTGATCTTTGAAAGAATTATTGTTAATGTAGAAAAGGAGTACATGTTTTTTTATGTTTAATAAGGACACCTAGTAGATGTCAAATTGACAGACATTTGTCATAAAGGATGTTCTCTACACATGGAGAATATTATGAACAGCTGCAGTCCAGGTTTCTCCAGCTGTGAATCACAGTTTCACCTGAATGGACAGGATTGTCTTTACTAAGGGGAGAAGATGACCAAATCCTCACAGAATTCTAACCCCACGTTTCCTAAAACTGCTAATGGATTAAGCCTTACACTTCAGTAGGGTCTTGCATGATATGCAGCTTGGCCACAAAAAGCTGCCATTTGGTAATAAACTAAAAATAGTTCAGTCACTTCAGTTATATTTATCTACAAGATCTTCTGTTTCTACATCAATCAGCTATCAATTCAGAAGGACCTAGCTACTATAAACAACATGTGAATACCATCTTTTACTCTCACCTCAGCTGATAGGCTTCCCTCAATCCACACTACCCAACTCCCAAACTTGCAGAAGTCAGCCATGGAAGGAACAACTGCTCTAATGATGTCACTGTGTCTCTGGTTTGCCTTTCTGTTTTGAGAATGGAGGCATCTGGAAATGGACTTTTGTTTTTTTCCTCTTAAAACTTTTTGAGATTTTTATTGTTTTTTTTCCACAGCTTGTGTACTCTGAGACATAGAATTATTTTTACTAACAACAAGACTGTCATGGAAATGTCAGTTTTATGCTAATGCAAAGAACAGTTATGTAAGAATGTGTATATCTTGGCCAGTGTAAATGCTAGATTGTATTATTCTGCTTACTGTTTGTTCTGTTAATAGACTAACATATATCAGAACACTTAAGCACCATGTCAATTTACCTGCCAAAGAAAAGAATTTAAGCATAGTTTTGTGACAAACCTGTTTCATAAACTCTTGATCATCTATGCTTTTCATGCCA